AGGCATGACAGCGTTCTGCTCAGTGTCCGGCTTTTCACAGTTCCTGCTCTCTTACAGGAAGCTTGCTGGACTTCCTTAAAGAAGGTGACGGCAAGTTCTTGAATCTCGTCATGCTGGTGGACATGGCTGCAAAGGTAGGCGCAATATATATATATATTTTTTTGTTTGTAATTGAGCTTATACTCCTTTTTTATGAATTATGTTTATTAGGTATTTTTGAATATTTATACAAAAACAGAAAAGGACAGAACAATAAGAGGGCAAAACTTATACAGCACTAATACAGAAAACAAGACAAAATAAAAGATTGGAGGCATGTACATAAATTACAGCATCATGTGAGAAACATAACCAATTTATACATACACGTCATTCTGATTCACATTACTGGTTTTTCATTTTTGAAATTTTGAAATGTTCAAGAATACGTTCCCATCTTTTTTTAAAAGCATAACATTTCCCATTCATACAATATCTCAATCTTTTTAGTACAATAACTTCAGAAAGCAAGTTTTTCCATAGCTGGATCGACGGGGCATCAGAACCAACCCATTTAAACATTATTGATTTTCTGGCCAACATCAATAGAAATTGCACAATTTCTTTGTGAGTATCGAGATGACGGGGTATGAACTCACTTATACTCCATTTTAATCCTGGGAGTTTTATAAAAAGCCAAACCTCAGGTTGACACATCCCCCCCCCCTTCCCTCCCGCTGTCTTTTCCTGCACCTCTTATCTCTGAGGCTTGTTCAAACAAAGAGGCTAAAAATAGTTTGCCGCCACACGACTAAATCTCCGGTTCGCAGATTGCCGACGGGATGGCGTTCATCGAGCGGATGAACTACATCCACAGAGACCTGCGGGCCGCCAACATCCTGGTGGGAGAGAACCTGGCGTGCAAGATCGCCGACTTCGGCCTGGCCCGGTTGATAGAAGACAACGAGTACACGGCAAGGCAAGGTGGGTTACATGCTTCGCTCTGTTTAGTTGTGCTCATCGTACTTGTAGGATATTATTATGATGATGAAAGTACTGGTTTTACACCCGCTGGCCTAATTCTTTGGTCAGAAAGAATGCAGCTGTCCTAGAGGTTTATTAATCAAACTGTGATGAAGTTGAGGTAGAAGTTGGGTTCTGTAGTACACATTTAAAGTTGCAAAGTTGTGGTTTCTAAAACAAAGACAGAAATTAAGGAACAAATAGGACAATACTTAATTGTGTACATTACAACGTCCCATCTACAATATATATTCGAAGATAATAATTACAGGAACAGTGCTGAATACACAGTAATAATAACAATATGATAAAAGGTACTAAATAGCGTATATAAAGCAGTAAAACAGAACAGGAAATCGTACTGCCTTAAATATATTAAGTGCTAACGAAAACGCTGTGTACAGGATTGCTAACACGATATTGCTAAGTCACGGATCATTCTAGACACTTCCAATCACACAGAAAGATTGTCTAGCTCAGATACAAAGTTAGAAAGGACTAGAAACGAACTAAATGGATGTACACACTAAATAAAGCCTAACAAGGAAAATATGGGCACTCACATTTGCATTCATACTCCCAAAGAAGTATGAGATTCCAAGCAAGTTTCATATCAGGGGCTAAAACACGTGTGATCAGTTCCTTAAAGGGGCAGCGCCACATTTCTTAAAGGCAAAGTCATTTGTGTAGGCAAACACAAATCTACACATAGGAAAGCAGGGAATTTTGTACAGTACTCTTCCGTGTTTTCTGCTTCAAGGATAAGCAGATCAAAAGGTTGTTGTTGTTTTTTCCCCCCTCCGTCTGTGTTTTTTTGCCAGCGAGGGCCGAAGAGCGCAGTTTGCTTTTGAGATTTACTCTGGAAGTGTGTGGAAAACCGTGACCTTGTTTAGTCACTGAATCGTAGTCCGGTTAGACGCTTAAACACACGCCAAACCGAAGCTAACAAACACCAATCTCAACAGTTCATTGAAGCTGTGCAGGACCACCATTGTTGTTCTTAACTAGCTTTATTCTCCTCTTAAATGTGAGAGCTTTAACAGAGTTTCTCTCTTCCTGAAAAGATTTTTTTTAATTATTTTTTTTGTGTTAGCTTGATTCTTTAGTTAGAAGCCTGAGAATAAACCAGAGCAGATCAAGAGTACAAATATGACATTTATTGGTCACAAGCAAAGTAAATCAGCTGGACTCTCACAGACAAAAGCTAACGGAGGATCTCAGTTAGCAAAGAACCCCGATTTCCGGGTGTGATGGATAGTTTTCCTCTGGGCCTCCAACAGGAGGACGAGTGTTATTGGCCAGTTAGCTCTGACATGAACAGGCCAGGTCCTAATTCATGCAGGCTTCGGTGGAATGTGATAAGAAAGACGTGTATCTACTGTAACAGAGAGAGGAGGAGGAGGCACGGACAGAGAGTTTAACACAAAAGTATAATTCTAAAGGGAATAATATGAAACCCAAAAAGGAATAAGACAATCAGTCATTCACATGGATTAAGTTGTAGCATATTATGCTAAAGTGAGTCATTATAGCCCAATTCTAACAGTTCGCTCCAGACATTTTTTTTTCTTTTTAAAAACGCTCCTGCTAATGGAAACATCTCGTCTCTCGTCTCCGTCCTCTCGTAAACGGACGCAGGCGCCAAGTTCCCGATCAAGTGGACGGCCCCCGAGGCGGCGCTCTACGGCCGCTTCACCATCAAGTCGGACGTCTGGTCCTTCGGCATCCTGCTCACCGAGCTGGTCACCAAAGGCAGAGTGCCCTACCCAGGTAAGCCCACAGACACACACACACTCCACACACACACTCCAAACACACACGGCTGGTAACGTGTGTCGTTCGGACATACACACAGGCAGATTTTAGATTAAATGAGGCCATCTGGTGGGCTCCGGTCAGGGGACTGAACACCACTCTTGTTTATAGCCATCTGCCACGCCTGTGCTTCTCCAAACCACATTCACTCAGTTCACGGTCATTTTCGGCAATTTTAAAAAAATCTAGCTGAAAGAATCGCTTCCTGTTTCCAAATTTCTAGTAGGTCTTTCATTAAGAGCACTTTTTTTTAAATGAATGACATGAAAATGTAGCATATTATAGGAAAAATTGCTGAGTTCCGAAATGACCAATCACCAATATAACCATCACATATTGTAAAATTCTTATTAAAATTCTTATTTTTATTTGAGGAACAATCAAAGTATTAACATGCTTAGATGCTTTCAAGATATTTTGCCAAGTGTGTGAGGCTCAGTTCTAATTTTGGAAAAAACAAACAAAATATATATACAACATTTAGCAGTTGTCGTTTAGCGTTTTTTAAATTTTTTTTAAATTATTTATTTTGGCTCCAAATGATTAATTGGGTATTTCACCATTTTTAATAGTAAATAATTGGTTTAAAAAATACTTTAAAAATCAAATCCCCACATAATCCGATGTTGTTTTGCCTCATTCCGCTCTAATTAATTGAATTTAGCAGTGCAGTCTTCCTTTGCTAAAGAGTAAGTCCGGCGTCTAACCGGACTAACCGGGTTTTTTAATGCTTTGTCCCTTTTCCTCCCCAGGGATGGTGAACCGGGAGGTGCTGGAGCAGGTGGAGCGGGGCTACCGGATGCCCGGCCCCCAGGGCTGCCCCGAGTCCCTGCACGAGATGATGAAGCTCTGCTGGAAGAAGGAGCCCGACGAGAGGCCCACCTTCGAGTACCTGCAGTCCTTCCTGGAGGACTACTTCACCTCCACGGAGCCACAGTACCAGCCCGGGGAAAACCTATAGCCCGAGGAGGCCCGAATTCCCATTTTCCCGCTTCCTTTCTCGGCATCTTTACACATTTTACTGGACTCTGTTCCCATTTACTTTGGGAATTCTGAACACTTCGTCATGGACTCAGTCGATAAGTTGAAAATGACGGCGCACACGTTGATGTTTTTAATACGATACAGACGGCATTCTTCTTTTTTGTTTGTTTTTTATGGCGGAATGAGTTTTGATTGAGTTACCGACGAGAATAATTTCCATATTGGGGAAAAACCTGGCCTTTTAATGTGACTCCTTGAAGAAAATCCACATTTATCCCCCCACAAAATTGTAGTTTGTGTGTTTTTTCTATTTGTGATTTAGGCGTCAAAGTGTTTAATTACTGAGAAAAATCCTATATTTTCCTAATAAGGAGAAGGTCCCGGGGGGGGGTCGGTGCTTATTATCGCGAAATCCCACACAGCTTTGCTTTATTTTTTCATTTGTGTGTGTGTGAGACTTTATCCAGATCACATGCGCGTTGTCTTCCGGCCTCATCTACAGACCACCCCCCCCCTTTGGATGGTTCTGGGGATTTGTATTAGTTCCTGTGATCCCTCCAAACCACCTCCAGCCATGATGTGTCACTGGTTTGCTTTTTTCCCCGACAAAGCACCAGTGTTTTAAACTGGAGGGCTCGGGGCCTTTTAGGCGTGAAGGAGGACTTTGCTTTTCCAAGTGAACAAAGCCGCCATATAAAACGGGAAACCGTCTGCCGGGGACTGTGGAAGAACCCTTGGACTCATGTGATCGGAGCCATTCTCCCTCTGTGGATCTGAATTTTGTTTCGTGGTTCCGTTTTGCTCCTGTGTGGACTCATCAGGACCCCCCCCCCACAATGAGAACCAATCACAGAGCTTGTAAAGAAGGGCTTTGTACATGATGACATTTACACTTTCTATATAACTATTCATTGAATTGAAAGAAAAACTGGATGATTTGTACAATAAAACGTGATTTTTATGGTCTACTCTTGTTTTGGCTTTGGGTTTTTTTTTGTCTTTTACACAGATGGCATTAGATTTGATGCATTTCTTTAACACTAGAAGTCCCAGAGTGCAGAATTTTTGTAGCTGTGGTTTGTTATCTGTGGTTTTTGTTTGTTTTTGTTTGTTTTTTGGGTAATGTTTGAACCCCTGACCCCGTGTCAGTGGGAGGGATCAACTGCAGTGGAGAAAAAAAGCTCCTCAAACGAGTCCAGATGAGTCGTGAGACCCCACACAAAATAATCCACCTGTCCGTGAGGGATGTCCGGTTCCCCACGTCTCTGGAGCATCACGGCTCGGATGCGATGGTGAGAAGACCCGCAGATTTGTGCTTTGCATGTGTTATTTTTTTGTTTTTTTAATAACTGTTGTGAGGCCTCTCTCCACTCCTCCGGTCCCTGAACGCCGCAGCACCCGGACCCGGACTACTCGGCCGCCTACGTGGTCCTGGACACGGACAGCGGCCTGAGGGGCTTCGGCCTCACCTTCACCTTAGGACGGGGCACGGAAATAGGTAGGATAAACACAGCCAGGCGCCAGATTTCTGGATTTAACCGAATACGTTTCGCAAGACTTGCAACGCTACTGTTTAGATGCGTTCAAAGCACGCAAGGAGCTCGGAATTCCAGCTTCTTTCTGAGAATTTGTGCAAAAAAAAAGACATATAGACACCAAAGAGACTAAATTGAGTTGCAAAAACAAGCCCAGGTTTTAAAAATTAGTACATATAATGATTCAGAGTAACGTTGGGAAAAAAAAATCCAAGACCAAATGCAAATTTCACAAGACGTTGCAGAGAAGTCCTCTCATTTCAGACTGTCCCTGAAGGGCACTTTTCATTTTTCCTTGCCTGGGTGCCTTATACCGCCATCTAGTGGTCAGTCAATACCAACGACCCATTTAAAACACAATCCGTCAAAAAGCGTTATAAGAGACTTTTTCAGACCCAGACAGTAGGTTTTTAGATACATCCAGATAAAAGGAACCAGCCTCCACGAGAGACAGTGCTCTTTTTTAAAAATATTTTATTATTAAAAGCTGTGGTTTATGTCATTGTTGATCTTTATTCAACTTTTGGTTGTTTCTGTTATTCTAAGCACCTATACTTTAAAAAAATAAAAAATAAAAGGGCAATAAAAGGACACCTCATTACAAAATAAGCCTTTATAGATTTTTTTAGGCTGTGTGGGAGCTTCCGTCCTGTTCTGAGGCTGTCATTGATCCCATCCCCGCAGTGGTGTGTGCGGTCCAGGCTCTGGCGGGTCTGGTGGTCGGCAAAACTTTGCAGGAGATCGTGAGCGACTTCCGCCGGTTTTACCGCCTGCTGACCAGCGACGGGCAGATGAGATGGGTGAGAACAACCTTCCCGGGCCTCTGGGTCACCATTCGCTCTGTTTATCTCCTCTGTTACAGTGTTACGACGCTTTAAATCCTTATTAGATCAATCTGAGAAGAAGCTGACCATGTTGGGAACAGTCAGAAGAAATAAGCCGGAACTTCTCAGTGAAATTCAAAATATGCAGGGCAGACCTCAGTATTTGCTTTCATTGAGAAAGCCTCAGTTGTCTCACACAAAGAGAAACAAGAATGTTTTGTATTGAGTACAATCTTATCTGGATAAAGTTTATCCTGGATTATAAATCCACCAAAGGAGGAGTTGACAATCTGGACAAAGTCACAGCAACATTGCACATTTCAATTGTTCATTTGCACATTCAGTTCTATATTTTTAAAGATTGTATTTTTCAGTTTGATCATTTCTGTTCTATATTTTTATTTCCACATTTTATTTCCTTCCTTGCTTCCTTGAAGTGTTGTGCACCAAACACCAAGGCAAATTCCTTGTAAGTCTAAAAACCTACTTGGCAATAAACCTTATTCTGATTCTGATTCTGACATCCAGCTGTCAGAGCCAGTTTGGTCCAGACTGGAGCCAGGCTAGCTTGATCCCCAGTTAGCAGCAGCTAGCATTGAAACGGTCAAGCTCAGGTTTCCCAACCAAAATCCAGTGGACATGTGTAAAACAAAAGGGAAAGCCAGGTCTGTCCGTCCCAAGAACACAGTAAAATAAGGACCTCTTGTGTGAAATATAAGAATTACATCTGCAGAAAGTACACCGTAAAATTCCAAAATGTGTTTGTGAAGGGGGAAAAACCCAAACAAAATAGAAAAGAAATATAATAAAGAAATAAAGAAAGTGTTTGAATTAAAAATGTATTGTATGTCACTTTTCTAAAGGTCTATTCAATATTACGTAATTGTTTATTGGTTTAACCTATTTTTAGACTGTTTTGCATTCATTTACATGGTACGCAAATAATTTTTTTTCAACATAATACAAGGGTTAACCTTTAATGGAAGCCCTGTTCTGGCTTAAAAGTGTAACTGCAGTCTTTTAGCCAAATTATCACTTTTTTTTCTATCTTTATTCTTTAAATCCATCACCTTTTTCGTTTTGTTTTTTTGACTCAGTTGGGTCCGGAGAAAGGCGTGATCCAGCTGGCCTCTGCGGCCGTCCTGAACGCGGTGTGGGACCTTTGGGCGCGGGCCGAGGGCAAGGTGGGACCCCCGTGACCCCTTTTTACCCCCCCGAGCACTACTCAAAGAGACTCACCCCCCCCACGATTTACTTCCTCCCCCCCTTCAGCCACTATGGAAGCTGCTGGTTGACATGGTGAGTGGCGGCCCCAAAAAGAGACGAGAGGCGATCCGTTCCTGTCAGGGTCGCCATGGGAAACGGGTTTGGGGGGGGGCTTTTCAGGACCCGGAGCGGATCGTCTCCTGCGTGGACTTCAGATACATCACGGACGTGCTCACCGAGGAGGAAGCCCTCCAAATGCTGGTGGAGGCCAGGAGGGGCCAGCGGCAGAGAGGTGAGCTTTGCCTCATGAAATAGCCTCCGTTGGGGCTATTTATTCTTTATTTCTTTATTCGTTTGAATTTTGTTAGTTAATTCTTAAATCTGTATTTTTTGTATTGTTTACGGTATTTATTTGCAGGTTAATAATTGTCGATTCTATTTAATTTCTTGTCTTGTTATTTTTCTGATTCCTTCTTTGAGTTAGACAGGAAGTCATGTGGGTCAGTCCACTTTTCTATAAGTATAGGGGCCTGGTAAAGGACCAGCAAGGCATTTGGGTTTGGGGCCTATGGTTTTTACCGGAGCAAAAGAACAGAGCAGAAGAACAGAGCAAAAGAACAGAGCAAGAGAACAGAGTAAGATTAACAGAATGAAAACAAAAGAAAGTTTGAACTCTGTAACAGTTGCTGGAAAGAACAAATAAACCTTCCTGAATGATCAACAAGTTTGGATGTTAAATCTTCTTTTGCCTGCGTACAGAAACTGGACCCCAGTGCCTCTTAGTGGCTTGAGGAACTTTTATTGGATGTTTGGTTTGACAAACAATCGCCACTACAGCCTCTTAAGGCGTCCCTCCCTGTTTCTAGACCACCGGTTCTCATCAACACAAAATCCGCAATAGGGATGTCCCGATCCAGCTTTTCTCACTTCCGATCCGATACCGATCCCGGCCTATCAGAGCATGTGTTAACACTAGAAAGCCAAATGACACGACAATTTTCCTGAGCCTCCAGTTCCCCCAAACAGTATTTCACAACTAATAAATCCCTTTTCAGATGTAAATGCCCCCTTAAGGGCTGTCGTTGGAGAACCATTCCCCCCTTCAGGTTTAGTTTTAGCTCAATCCTCTCTGCTGATGAGTGTTTTACTTGAGAGCAGAGGGGGGGAATAATATTTATAATTAAATATAACTAGGTCTACGTCATCAGTGTCACAAACACCGGAATGATTTCAGACATAGGAGCAGACATCAGACCAGTAAAAGGGATCAGATAACTGATCTGTACAATGAAAGAAGCTTCATGAGCTGGAACGCTGGAGAGAGGGAAGGCAAGAATATCTATACAATAATGATAATAATCTGCCCTATTTACTGGAGGGCAAACATGCTGGGAACAGGCTCTGGTTCAGTTAGTTCCAGCCTGTATCCAGTCTCAGGTACAGGGGCTGGTCATATACAGGTTACCTGCATTACAACAGGGACAGTTAGCAAGATAGAGTGGATACACAAACTCGAAGGGGGGGGGGGCTTGCAGGAAAACTGAGATTCTCTGAGACTTCTAGTGTTAAAGTCTAAAGTTATTTATCTACTTACTTAGTTGTCAGACTCATGTTGAACAGGGATTTACTCTGATAACAACTTAATGGTTAGGACACAGACCTGTGGGTCAGGAGATGCTAATGCTAATGCTAATGGTCGTGTGGGACAAGCCTAGAGAATAAGATTGTAAACTGTATTAAAAAGGCAAAACACACACATGACCTGAATAGAAAATAGTCTGTTAACTCTGTTTGACATCCAGCTCTTCCTCTCTTTCGTCTTTAAGGATAAAATAATCCCACACAACTGATATTTTTACCGACAGCTTCACATCAACACGGCCGTCTTAACGGTTAGGACACAGACCGGTGGGTTTGAAGATGCTAATGCTCACAAAATCCGCAATAGGGATGTCCCGATCCAGTTTTTTTTCACTTCTAATCCGACACCAATCCCGCCCTATCAGAGCATGTGTTAAAGTTTAACGTTATTTATCTACTTACTTAGTTGTCAGACTCATGTTGAACAGGGATTTAGTCTGATAACAACTTAATGGTTAGGACACAGACCTGTGGGTCAGGAGATGCTAATGCTAATGCTCATGTGGGATCGGATTTAAAAAAAAACTGGATCTGGAGTCTGGATCGGCATTTTCTAAAGCCAGCCGATACGCATTTGTTTTGGCAAATTCCGATCCAAATATCCTACTCAATAGTCCTGCTCAGAGCTGAAAACCCTTTAGAGGAGACCAGTCTCATCTGAATCAGGTGAGCAAAAGCTTAGGAGACCTCTAAAACCCTGCAGGACAGCCCCCCCCCCTGCTTTTTAGAGGCTAGCTTACCTCTACCCCCCCACAGCTCCTTCTGTAGTCCCTCTACCTCTATCTCTATCTCACCACTGACTATGATCAGTGTTTCTCCTCTGTATAGCTTATCGCCATAGTGATGATAAATGTAATATTGTGTTTACTCTGTAAGTCGCTTTGGATAAAAGCGTCTGACAAATGCATAAACATGAACATAAACATAAGATGGAAATTGAAGTGGATGTTTCTCTACCTTCTCCTGTCCAGAGGAGCAGATGCTGAGTGAGGGTTACCCCGCCTACACCACCTCCTGCGCCTGGCTGGGATACTCCGACCAGCAGCTCAGAGAGGTCCCTGGGAACGCCACACGCACACGCCGCCCGGTTTTTAACTCATTGACTGCCAGCCATTTTCAGAACAGAGAGTCCCATACTGCCAGAGTTTTTTAAGCATTTTTACTTATTTTTCAAGAGCCACAGAATAGTTTGTGCTATGACTATGTAAACGCCGAACACACCAAAAGAAAGAGTAGACTCTCTTCTTTCATCAGGAAAAAAAAGTGTTTTTACTTAATTCCGTTCTTTAGTAATCAGCAGTAGAACATAGGTTGGTTTCAACAAAAACACCAGTTTTTGACCAATAAATGGAGAAAACAAGCTTTTTGTGAAAAGATACAGTTTAAGCAGAAAAGTGTCTTTGATGCTATTTTTTTGGCTTTAGTGAGACCTCAAACATCTTAAAAGTTGTATACTTCTATAAAATGGCAAAACAACATCTAGAAATGGTTTTAAATTACAACATAATTTATTCACAAATACATTTATGTAAATAGTTATGTAAATAGTGAGCTAGGCCTACTCTCTCCGTTTGGCCCGGGTTGATCTCCTTCATTTCCCACGATCTGGACACCAACCGAACTACTGCGACACAAACTCTGTTTTAGTGTGAGCTGCCTCGACTTGCGTCTCACCGGCGACATGTTCTCTCATAGTGAACCGTTACCTTTTTCTTATTTGCCTACAGTCTATGCTCATCTCCCATCAAAAGTGGCACTGCCCCCTAGAGGGTCAATTTGTTACTACATACTCTGTCTAGAAGCCGATATTTACGGACAAGCTTTAGCAGATCGTCCCCCAGCCACTCGCGTTGAAAAACATAAAAGACGTCTATAGACGTCTTTGGCAGTCAATGAGTTGAAAGCCCCTGTGTTTTGGTTTTTGATTGTTTTTGTTTTTTAAAGCGTTGTACAGAGGCCCTGGAGGAGGGCTGGACCCGGTTCAAGGTGAAGGTGGGGGCGGATCTGGAGGACGACCTGCGCCGGTGTCGTCTCATCAGGCGAACCATCGGAGACCACAACACTCTGGTGAGGCGCCTTTTACTGCCAGTTCCTCGATATCCAACTCCTCCCACATCCAAGTCGGCCATTTTGATTAGGTCATGTGACCAGCAGCTTTCTGAGGTGGAAACAAAACTTTACTGTCTATACGAACGATGTCTGAACCCTAACTCCAACCCTAACCCTTCACCGTAAACATAACCCTGACCCTAACCCTAACCTTAAACCTGACCCTAACCCTGACCCTAACCCTAACCCTCCATCTTTCATAATCGTGAGAAATAAATATTTTTTGGTTAAACTTGTTTGGACTTATTGTACAAACCTAACAAACATAACATTATGTATAGAGTTTAATTCAGTGTTCGCAAGATTAATTTCACTATTTTTAAATTAATGTCTATATTGCCATGAAGCAATTAGGATTTTCTTGCCTGGGATCTTCCTATTGGTGACCTAATCAAAATGGCCGACTTGGATGTGGGCGGAGTTAGGTATCCATCCATGGTTTCCTACAGTCTGCATCGAGACGGACTTGATTTCCTTTACATCTCCATTTACATTTAGTTTAGTGGTGAGGAAAGGGTGTGTTTGATTCCCTGGTGGGGAGATACACACCTATACATTTTACTTTGTGGTCGCTTTGGAGAAAAGCGTATGCAAATGTATGCAAAAACATACATTTGTGCATTTAGCAGAAGCTTTTATCCAAAGCGGCTAACACCGGTTACACACTTAGCTTGAGTACAACATGCTTGAGGAGGATTTAACATTCAACTTTAACAAAGATGACACAAGTACCAGACATCGATGCTACATGCTAACAGGAAATAGCCGCGTTTAGAGCACTTCCTGTGTGTCAGATTAGTTATTTTTGTTGGGTTTTTTTTGTTAGATGATCGATGCCAACCAGAGATGGGACGTGGGGGAGGCCATCACGTGGGTGTCCAGGCTGGCTGAGGTCAAGCCTCTTTGGATCGAGGAGCCCACGTCTCCGGACGACGTCCTGGGCCACGCCGCCATTTCGAAGGTGAGGCGGTACTTTGCTTTCTGTGTCGGGACTAAAGGAGGAAGAGATTTTTTTTGGCAGCTTCTGTTCACGCCTGTATTTGTAGATCCAAGCTCGTTGTAATCCCAATGCCCGAAAACTTTTTTTTCTCTGTTTTTCATCTGATGGTTTGGTGTTATTCCGTCATTTTTCTGTGTCTCTTGGGAGTTGTTTTGCAATTTATTGTTGTTGTTTGGCTTGTTTTGTAAGATGCTTCACATTCCAGATGAGATTGTCACTTTAAAAAAAAAAATTTTTAAATCTTTTTTTTAACCCTTTAAAGCCTGATCCAAGAATAAAATAAAACAGAAAATTACTTTTTTTCAGGTTTGAATTCCTTATTTGGCCTTTTAACAAAATATGTAAAAAGAAAAAACAGAACTACATTTTTAATATTAATCATTTATTACTATGCGAAAAGTCAAAATTATTTTTTGTGTATTCTTCTGCCCCCTGCTATCAAGTATATCTGATTGTGTACAACAGGATTTTGAGCAACGTTTTTACCATTAAATTATGCAAAAGGTGTCAGACGCAAAACATTTCAGAAACCGTATGTATCAAATATGATACATTTGGCATTACAGGGTTAAAGCTGCATATTATTATTGTGTTTGTGGTTGAGATATCTGAGGATCTCTCTTGTTACAGGCTTTGGCTCCCCTCGGGATCGGAGTGGCCACGGGGGAGCAGGTCAGAGTTCGAGCGTTTCCCCGTTTGTAAGGTCTGAAGCGGGTTTATCCACCGGCGCCTCTCCGCAGTGCCCCAACCGGGTGGTGTTTAAGCAGCTCCTGCAGGCCTCGGCCGTGCAGTTCGTGCAGATCGACAGCTGTCGGCTGGGCAGCGTCAACGAGAACCTGGCCGTGCTGCTCATGGCCCACAAGTTCAAAGGTGGAGTCAAAGTTACGCCAAAAAGAGCCCCAAAGCAGCTCTATAGACCCTATTTCCTTTTTTTTTAACACTAGCAATTATCAGATAAGTGTATTAGACAAGTGTATTAGATAATACATTTAGATTTTTAGTAAAAACGTCATTTATTTCAGAAAAATAATAATAATACAATTATTTTAATAATAAAAATGATAATAATAATCAGAATAGTGTTTTTTTTTCTAGACAAGTATATTAAATAATACATTTAGTTTTTTATTAAAAACTTCATTTATTGTATCCCAGTATTTGTGACAAGCAGGGAACAATTAATAAAATGATGGAGAATTTTTTTTTTTTACTATTTTTGATGACTAATCAGAGTAGAGTATTTTTTTCTAGACAAGTATATTAGATAATACATTTAGGTTTTTGTTAAAAACCTCATTTATTTTATCCCAGTATTTGTGACAAGCAGGGAACGATCAATAGGAATATTGGATAAATTATTTTTTTTACTCATTTTGATGACTAATCAGAGTAGAGTGTTTTTTTCTAGACAAATATATTAGATAATACATTTAGGTTTTTATTAAAAACGTCATTTATTTTATCCCAGTATTTGTGACAAGCAGGGAACGATCAATAGGAATAATGGACAAATTATTTTTTTTTACTATTTTTGATGACTAATCATAGTGTTTTTTTCTAGACAACTATTTTAGATAATACATTTAGGTTTTTGTTAAAAACCTCATTTATTTTATCCCAGTATTTGTGACAAGCAGGGAACGATCAACAGGAATAATGGATAAATGATTTTTTTGACTCATTTTGATGACTAATCAGAGTAGTGTTTTTTTTTCTAGACAAGTATATTAGATAATACATTTAGGTTTTTATTAAAAATGTAATTTATTCTATCTCGGTATTTGTGACAAGCAGGGAACGATCAATAGGAATAATGGATAAATGATTTTTTTTAAAACTAATTTTGATGACTGATCAGAGTAGTGTTTTTTTTCAAGACAACTATATTAGATAATACATTTAGGTTTTCATTAAAAACATCATTTATTTTATCCCAGTATTTGTTATAAGCAGGGAACGATCAATAAGAATAATAGATAAATGATTTTTTTGACTATTTTTGATGACTAATCACGGAGTAGAGCATTTTTTTTTTTCTTCACATCAGCTTATCAGATGCCATTTTTTGGGCCTATTTGATCAATCGGCTAAAGATTCTAACTGAATTGGGTTTTCATTTTCCCTCAGTGCCCGTGTGTCCTCACGCCGGGGGAGTCGGCCTGTGCGAGCTCGTCCAGCACCTGATTCTGTTCGACTACATCTGTGTGTCGGCGGACCTGAGTGACCGGTAGGAGCCCGGCCGGTTTGGCCTTTGACCTCAGAGCTCGGTCTGACCACGCCCCTTTTTTTGTAGGATGTGCGAATACGTCGATCACCTCCATGAGCACTTCGCTAATCCCGTGGTGATAAAGAACGCCCGCTACATGCCCCCCCGGGTAAGACATGGACCACCACTATTTAAAACCAACAGCCTCCCTTTATACGGTTAATCTGCCATTGTTGGTTTTAGGATCCAGGCTACTCCTGTGAGATGCTGGAGTCTTCAGTGAGAAGACATCAGTACCCTGGAGGAGACTCAGTGGGAATTTCCATGAAGAAATAAAGGCAGTGTCCTAAACATTTGAACGATATTCATTCTCCAAGTTTTAAAGGGAAGCTTTGTTTGCCAGGATCCTGAGGCAACATGCGTATTAAACCCCATTTAAAAGAGTCAACTCGCCCATGAGTGGAGATTATTTCTCAAGATTCAATTGAAACATGTTTTCCTGCAACAAGGACCACAAGATTTCATCGTTAAATTGATATAATTTATTAAAAAATATAAAAAGACATTTAAACAACAGAAATATTTTGGGGAATTTCTTCCCCAAAATGTTCTGGCAATCATAGCCAACCTAAAACACTCTAACCAAACCCACCAAATTTTTCAGCCACTTTTAGTGACTGAATCATTTATAAACAGAAACCAGCCACACACTCACACACACCGACCCACACACCAACCCACACACACACACACACACACACACACCCACACCCTCTCTCTGATCATCTCCTCATTTGTGGTTTCACACAGCCATCTCCATCTTGATGGTTGGATGGGGGTTGTAGTCGGAGATCTCGAAATCCTCCTTACGAAAATCGTCAATGCTCTCCACTTTCCTGTTGATCTTCAGCTTGGGGAAGGGGCGGACGTCCCTCTGGAGCTGCAGACACACAATCTCCTGTTAGCTTGGCCTAAAAGAACACGGGCGCTTTGGCAAACGTGCACGGCTAACACACCTGCTCCTCCAGGGGCTGGATGTGGTTGACGTAGACGTGAGCGTCTCCCAGAGTGTGGACGAAGTCACCGGGCTAAAGAACCAGAGCAGGAGAGAGAGAAAGGTTAACGGAGGTGGTGGAAGGCACATTTGTGGACAAAAAAAAGAAAGAAAAATGGTATGTATTTGTATATGTGTATATACGTGTATGTATACATGTATGTGTGTATATAATATATACAGTGGGGGAAATAAGTATTTGACCCCTTGCTGATTTTGCAGGTTTGCCCACTTACAAAGAATGCAACGATCTATAACTTTAATCATATGTACATTCTAACAGTGAAAGACAGAATCCCAAAGAAAATTCCAGAAAATCACATCATATGAATTTATAAAAATTGATAACCATCTGATGAGGAAAAATAAGCATTCTTTGTAAGTGGGCAAAACTTGCAAAATCAGCAAGGGGTCAAATACTTATTTCCCCCACTGTATGTATTTTTTGCTGTTGGTTTACTTTATGTTGCGTTTTTGGCCTGGGTGTGGACACCCTGGAGGGGAAGGGGAGGGGTGTGGGTTTCAGGGATCTGGTTTATTGTGCTGCATTTATTTTGAAATATTGTATACAGTGGGGGAAATAAGTATTTGACCCCCTGCTGATTTTGCAGGTTTTTACAAAGAATGCTTATTTTTCCTCATCAGATGGTTTCACTGTAAGAATGTACATATGATTAAAGTTATAGATCGTTGCATTCTTTGTAAGTGGGCAAACCTGCAAAATCAGCAAGGGGTCAAATACTTATTTCCCCCACTGTATCTGGCATCAGTATTTCTGTTATTGATTTTATTGCTGTTGGCTCAGGGAATGTTCTTTTGTTGTGAAAATTCTTGAAAATAAAAAGTTCTAAAAAAACATATTTAAAAAAGAAAAGAAAAGGGGAGACCCGGACCGTGAGCCCTGTGATGTGTGCGATCATGTAGGTGAGCAGCGCGTAGCTGGCGATGTTGAAGGGCACCCCCAGGCCCATGTCGGCCGAGCGCTGGTACAGCTGGCAGGACAGCTCGCCGTCGCACACGTAGAACTGGCACAGGGCGTGGCAGGGGGGCAGAGCCATCCGGGGCAGGTCTGCAACCGACAGGGGGACGAAAAGGCAGGTCAGGACTAGGGTTGTCAAAAGTATCGATACTAAAATGTTGTATCCGGATACGATACTCATTTTCAAAAGTATCGATACCCCCGCTGACCTGCCGTCGCTGCGCCCCTTTTCTCAGATTTATTTATGTATTTATTTACGTTGTTTATGATCACTAACAAGACGTTAGCTTTGCTAGCTGCGGCTAATGGCTGATAATAACATGCTACCATTAATCAAGTACATATCCAAGTCCGCCCACATCCAAGTCGGCCATTTTGATTATGCACCAATAGAAAGATCCCAGGCGAGAAAATGGTATTGCCTCATGGCAATATAGACATTAATTTAAAAGTAGTGAAATTAATCTTTCAAACACTTAATCAAACTCTATCCATAATATTATGTTAAAATAGTGGATGTTAAATAGGTTTGTACAATAAGTCCAAACAAGTTTAACCAAAAAATATTCATTTCTCACAATTATGAAGGGTGGAGGGTTAGGATTAGGGTCAGGGTTAGGATTAGGGTCATCAATACGGGCCACCAGTCACGATAACATGAGTAACAGGTCAGTTTGAAATGAAAGACACTAACCTGTCAAAATTCAGTTAAATTTGGGGGTCTTTGTTTTTATCCTTGTGGTATCGAAAATGGTATCGAGTATTTTCCTGAGTATCGGTTACCGAGTTGAAAATTTTAGTATCGTGACAACCCCAGTCAGGACGGAGGCTTCACGCTGCCACCGGCTCCACTCGCCTTTCGGGTTCCACGCGCACATGATGATCCGCCGGTCGTCGGGATTGGTCTTTATGGTGTCGATGACGTTCTGCAGCTGGTCCACGCCCTGTCCCGTGTAGTCTGTCGAAAGAGCCGTGGAAGCTTTTGTTGGAACCACTGTACATAGGTTATCATATAAAATGGAGGACGCCTGTAGTCCATGTTTCTTTCGTATCTATCATTTTAAACCTCTTATCAGAACAATTTTATTTATATAGCGCCACATCACAACAACAGTCATCTCATAGCACTTTCCAAAGATAGCAAGTCAGACCCTACTCTGTAGTTAATTACAGAAACCCAACAATTCCCACCATGAGCAAGCACTAGGCGACACAGGCAAGGAAAAACTTCCTTGTGCGGGAATGAATAACCAATGTGCTTGTGTAAGCAGATTTGAATAACCAGGTGCAGTGTCTACAGCAAAACAGCAGCTGAGAGCAGAAGTGTGAGAAGGCCAAGATCCTCGGTTCTCACCCAGTGAGGCGCCTGATAAGGAGCTTGGATATAATGTTGGATACAATGTAATATTCAGCTACACCTGCGTGATCTTATCCCTTAGAGGCTGCACATCCATGTAACGTAGGGAACATTCCTTAATAAAAAGAGAGGAGGCAGCGGAGTCTGGTCAGAGTATGGTGGAGATTGTAAAGGCTCCGCGCCTCTCCTTGCAGGTCTAACGAGTAACGTTGTTTTTAATAATGTTTTGGATTTAACCCTGACCGCTTTGGCACCACGGGGACAGAAATGTGGATTTGTGGGTCTCGCCGCGTCCTACCTTCACGCATGTTTTTGTACTCTGCACCATAGTGCCTCCACTGGAAGCCGTAGACGGGGCCCAGGTCGCCCTCCTCCCGCTCGGTGAAGCCCAGCTTGTCCAGGAAAGCGCGGGAGCCGTTGGCGTCCCAGATCTTCACCCCCTTCTCCGACAGCTCCTTGGCGTTTGTAGAACCCTGCCAGCCGGGAGATGAACATCAGGGCTAAGGCTACACACGGAGAGGCTAAAAAAGGAGGGCGCCTCTGCGTTATACCCACCTTGATGAACCACAGCAGCTCCTCCAGGATGCCTTTCCAGAACACTCTCTTTGTCGTCAACAAGGGAAACTGGTCTTAAACGTAAAATGGGCGACATGTCACCGGTTCAGTTTAGTGTTCAGTGTTTATTGCATGCTGTGCAATTATGTGAACATATAAAAGACTGAGATTTGCTATTTTGTAAACAAAAATGCAGGATTCTCTCTTTAAAAAAAAAAAAAAAAAAGACAAACTCTTTATCTAACATTTAGAAAAATACAGACATTAAACAAATATTCCAAAGAATTCCGTGTGGGATGGACCACATAGGCTTACTGGGATAGGCTCCAGTCCCACCTGCAACCCCATTAGGAAATATGCGGTTACCATAATGGACAGATAGATTTTTGTGATGCTTATACATAAATTATAAACCTTTATATTGTGTCTGTCTTTATGATACAATGATAGGAAAGCTTGAATAGATCGCTAAAAAACTCGTAATTAACCTCAAAGTCTACAAAACGTAAGAGGGGGGAATACATTTTTCTGGCCCTTATATTTCAAATAGAGCGCCAAACCGCGAAACACTTCCTGAATCAGGCTTAAGACGTCACCACATACGTCATCAATAGGCGCTTCACAGAAATCATCCTGGATTTCTCGACGCGGGAACGTCGATACAGAGGGACACCATAGACATGTATACATATGTCTATGAGGGACACATTACTAGTTTTCAGTTGAAAAATACCGGAAATTATTGTAATTCTCTGTGCTGTCCTTGATATTCAAGCAAGCAGACCCATGACACCATTCATTTATAATATCGTAATCGCACATTTTCACTAAATCGTGCAACACTGGTGCAGATTAGAGTCCATAAAGCACAAAACTCCTTATTCTCATGCATGCATTCCGTGCACATTTCCACACTTTTTCTTTTTAAAACTACCAAAAGACACAATTCCATTCAAATCCTTAAACTTTTGGCAGTTTTAAGATGTCAGTGTGTATTCTTCGTTGTCCTCCGCTCATGCACAGTTGTGCTCTGTTTACCTCTAAGGTTGTATCTCATCTGGGCACCGAACACGGAGCGGACTCCAGTCCCGGTCCGGTCTCCTTTATGGCGCCCGGCCTGGATGATGTACCGGACCGTGTCCAGGTAGCCGCGTTCGTCCAGCAAAACGCCGAAAGCCGTCTCCGTCTTTACCGGCTTCTCCTCGGTGGCTTCCCGGGCTGCGGGGCCCTTTTCTCCGCTGTGTGTTTCAGAATAAGCAGGCATTTCGAGGATACGTGATTTCAGACTCTGACTGGTGAGCGCGAACTGATATGCGGGAGTTCAATTTTGCCGCTCTAGGTACAAACAGTATAAGGGGCGTTTATAGAACGAGAACGGAGCCAATAGGACATTAGCTCAAATATCGCGAGAGTACCGAAGCATGTACCGAAGCATGTACAGCATCTACCGAAAGAAAACAAAACCTTCCGAATAATGAAGAAAAATCATAACGATATTTCTATTTAATCAATACCAAATTTCTGTATTTAACTCTTCTTCATGCGTTTTGAGGGTCATTGAAAGTTCATCTGTTGATATTTTTGGATGTTTGCTTTTTTTCCTGTCTCTTTCTGTCAAAAGGATCTCTCTTCTTTCCACTGCTCTTTTTTATTCCCTGTCCCTCTGTCAGGCTTAGCATTATTGCCCACATGTAAGTTTGGTAACAAAAATGAACGAATAACGCATCTTTGGGTCATCAAGGGGGGCTTCTCACCAACACTCTGTAGAAGTATTAATGCATTTTCTATGTGTTTATGACACAATTAGTCATTGCATCAATTTCCTGTCTTCCCTCCTTAAAACTGTTGCAGTGTCGTGGTTTGAATCATGAATTTGGAATGTGGTCTTTTCATGTTAGGAGGGAGGTGCTTTTCCTTGAATCAAGAATTTTTTTAAAATGCATTCATCAAAACTTTATTGCAGAAAAATCTCAAACACTAACATAATAATCAATCAATAATAATAATAATAATAATATAAGCTTTGCTTTTGAGGTTTTGAGGTCTATACAGTGCATTTTCAAGTTTTACAAACTTATAATTGTGCAAGAAAAGTGGGTTGTACTGCAGTACAGAAGTCTTTCTTTAGCTTCTGAGTCTGGATGAGAAGAGGGTCAGTTCTTTCCTGTGTTGAAGAGAAGCAAAAATCAGCTTTTTGACCAAATTTAAAGGCTTTTAGGTCTTCAACAGTTTGAGCATATTCACATAAGCATGGTCACAAATATGAATGCATTTGCCTCATCTTAGTGAATAACACACTATACATTTTCTGAACTTAACACAGCACAGTGATTCAAAATTATTTGTTTGTTTTTGCTTTAAATTAAATACGAAATTGTGCCAGATGTTGAATGATGGGACCAGTGATGGGATCAGTACCTCTAATCAGCTGCTTGAGGTGTGCCAGACCTTCTCGAGCAACGTATTGGATAAAAGCAGGATCATCCACACCCAGATCTGGTGGCACCTGAAGGGTTATTGGGGCCGAATCCAATATGGAGATGCTCACACTTCGGTCCCCTGTAGGCTTGTTACTCCTCACTTGGTGCTGTAGATTAACCTGAGAAGTTAAACTGGGTCAGATATGACTTATTGTTTCAGTAAGTCTTGATTTCAATAATCAGCTTTATACAAATAAATATCAAATGTCAAAAATCACTTTGGACTTTATATTGTATGGTTAAGACACGTTGTATTAACAATGGAAATAATCCAAATAATAGCATTATGGTGCATTTTACACTTAGAAAACCCCCCAAAACAGGTCATTCTGACAAATTTGGCATTGATAAGAACATACCGCGATCACTTTGAAGGTGCTAGTCGGACTCCCCGTGGAGTTGGACAGCAGGCTGACCCAGTCGTACTTGTCCTGCATGTTGCTGAGCCACCTCTGAGTGTCCGCCGTGTGTCTCTGAACCAGCTGCAGCCGCTGCTCGTACTGCTGACTGGACGCATTCAGCAGCATCTGCATCTCGTCCATCTCCGAATGCACGTGCTGCACGGAGGGGCACTCTGTAGCAGAGAGGCGCGCCTGTTAGAATTTGGCTATACAGTAATCACTCACTTTAGCATTGTATGCTATCACATGATCTATGTAAATGATTGTGTTATCTTCTCATAGAACTATATTTTGTGTTGAAGTCTCTGGCTGTGTCCACAGACTCTCTTTTTCACTCTTTTTCCTTCTCTGTTGCGTTAGATCCACCTTTAGGTCAACACACACACACACCATTTGTTACCACATTCCAATTTTATCTACATGAATTAGGACCTGGCCTGTTTACGCCCAGAGTTAACTGGCCAATAGGACTTGGTTGTGTCCAGTCCTCCTTTGAGGAGGCGGATCGAGCCCAGGAGATAATGCCCATAACCCAGGTTTTTGTCTCTTAGAGCCCAGCTGATACACTTAACTGTGTCCAATAAATGTAACTTTTTATACTTTTGATCCAGGTTTCCAACTAAAGAATCGGGTTAACACGCCCCAACAGGGGTTTGAGGAAGTAGAGCAAGGGTGTGGGGATGTAGCAAAGAAATGGCTGACTTTTTCAGGAAAAGTCAACCAGTGGCAAAACGGAATAACCTTTTATCAGATCCTCCTGGCAGGTCTCACACAGGTTCTGAAGCTGAAAGCATTCTGAGGCCTGTCTGCGGAGCTGCCTGCACAGGTATCCACTGGGAGGCTGATCCAAAGCGGAGGGCGACCCGGAGTCTGTGGACACGGGAAACAAACGTTACTCGTGCGCAGTGTTGGGTAAGTTACTTTAAAAATGTAATCCGTTACAGTTACAAGTTACCTTGTTTAAAATGTAATTGTAGTGTAACTTTTTCGATTACTTATAACAAGTAATGTAACTAATTACTTTTGATTACTTTTTGATTCCTTTAAGGTTTTAATGAGTATTGACCCATGATTAATTTTAGCATGTTATTATTAGCTATTGGCCGCAGCTAGCAGTTCAAGGCTCACGTCTTGTTAATGATCATAAACAACGTAAATAAATACATAAATAAATCGACAAATCGAGACAAGCGACGGCAGGTCAGTCGTATCCGGATACAACATTTTAGTATCTATACTTTTTTAAGTATCGATACTTTTGACAACCCTAGTCTGAAATGTAGGACATGTCCGGGAAAAAGAGGACGTCTGGTCACCCTACAGTTGGGTAGGCTAGGTAGTCTAGGCTAGGCTAGGTCATAGACAACGTTTGTCATGCATCAACACCAAACAGTCAAATATTAGTAAATCAATACGCTTCGTCTATCAGTGAGTTGCATATTTCGCAAAGGTTTTTCTTTATATTTTTTTAAAAAATGTAACAAAATTTGTAATTCTTAATATTTTCGGAAGTAACTGTAACTCAATTACATATTTTCTCATTGTAACTGTAACGAATTACAGTTACTCTTTTTTTGTAATTAAATTACGTAACGTCGTTACATGTAATCCGTTACTCCCCAACACTGCTCGTGCGAACTTGAGACGAACAGATTCGTTCTCCGTGGTCAGATGTTTATGTTTATGTTTATGCATTTGGCAGACGCTTTTATCCAAAGCGACTTACAGAGTAGACACAATATTACATTTCTCATCACTATGACAATAAGCTATATAGAGGAGAAACACTGATCAGAGTCAGTGGTGAGATAGAGATAGAGGTAGAGGGACCACAAAAGGAGTTGTGGGGGGGATAGAGGTACGGGTTAGGATTAGGATAGGAGTCAGGTACCTCTGCCCGATGGCTGAAAATGCTCCCGGGCTCCGTGCGTCTCGCCGAACACGCCGGTCACCATGGAGCCGAACTCCTCCAGCACCTCCTTCCCGAAGCCGTAGGCCGAGTGGACGATGTGGTCCAGGCCCAGGTTCTTGAAGAAGCCGGCGTCGGATCCGTCCCGGGCGGCCGACGGCGAGCTGAGCTGGAGGTCGGAGGTCAGAGACGCGAGGAAGGAGCGGCCGAACACCCGCGGCACCCTCCCGGCCAGAAGGATGGTGCGGTCGTACAGGAGGCCGATCTCGGACAAAAGCTGGCCAAATGCCGATTCGGCCTGGGACAGCTCCAGATCGATCTCTTCTTCTACGACCCGGTTATCAGCCGATGGGGGTTTATCCGAATCCTCCTGGTTCGGATTGTAAACTTGCTCTGTTCCTTCCAACTGGGTGGCCATTTTTCTGAAAAACTCCTCCACCTGCACAGAGAGATAATGGTAAATCCATTCCTAGCTTTTCAGTATCGGAGTCCCGTGAGATTTTTAGAAGCAAAGTCAAACCTTGAACGAGAACGAGGTGAAACCGCGGCGACACGTGGACGTGTAGAAGGATTTACAGGACTCCTCCAGACACGGCCGACACTCCCTGAAGGAGGCCTTGATGGAGTCTTGACACTGCTGCTCCACCTCCTTGAGTTTCTGCTCCGTCTCCTTGGCCAACTGCGTGGCCCCCTGAAAGAACCCAGAACAAAAAAACTCTTAAGGAGAAGATAAGACCCGAAAAACGGAGGACTCTGGGCGTTCGCATTCACGAGTCTCTGTCTGCTTTGAGGTTTTTCCGTGGCTTTGACTTCAAGGGGCAGAAAAATGTGGTTGGGTTGAGACCACAGCTCGAGAACCGGCACGAAACTACAATATTCATGCTCTATAAAAGGTTGCGTTTAAATAGATGTTAGAATTTGGCTATAATTACTCGCTTTAGCATTGTATGCTAGCACACGATCTATGTAAATGACTGATTGTTTTATTTCCTTATAGAACTATATTTTATGTTGAAGTCTGGCTGTGTCCACAGACTCTCTTTTCTCTCTTTTTCTCTCTCTGTTGCATTAGATCCACCTTTAGGTCAACACAAACACACACCATTTGTTACCACATTCCAATGTCATCTGTATGAATTAGGACCTGGCCTGTTCCTGCCTAGAGGTAACTGGCCAATAGGACTTGGTTGTGTCCAATCCTGCTTTGAGGAGGCGGATCAAGCCCAGGAGATAATGCCCATCACCCAGATCTCAGGGCTCTTTGCCCACTGAGACCCAGAGAGAGCTTTTAGTCTGTTAGAACCCAGCTGATATACTTAAGTGTGTCCAATAAATGTCATTTTTTATACTTTTGATCCACTCTGGTATATTCTCAGGTTTCCAACTAAAGAATCGGGTTAACATAGATGCGGAATGATTTATTACGAGTGTCTCACGTCAGAAACAATCCTTGTGAACACACTTCTCGTGAAGAACTTGTGTGAAATATAAGCGTAAAATACCCTCTTTTTGACGCTGCCGTGTCTCAGGGCATCCATCAGGTGTCTGTGGTTCTCCTCTCTCTTGTCCATCATTTCCTTCACCTGCTTCACCGCCAACACGGTCTGCTTTATTTCCTCCTCAACGTACGGCTCCCCGGCCGCAGACAGCTCTGCACACACCAGGAAAACACACCATGCTGAGGCTCTACAAAAAGCTCTCAAATTAGGATTTTTCCTCCCTATCGAAGGCCTTACTTTTCAGCACGTCTTCACTCGTGGGGGGGGAGTCAGACGCACACAGGGCCAGCGTGGCGACACACAGAATGGGAATGAAAAGGGTCCTCATTGTTCCTTACTTTCTGAGAAAAAAAGGGTGAAAAAAAGACAAAAACTATTCAGAAAAATGTTTATAGACGAGGAAGAAGATGGCCACCAGGTGGGACCATTTCCCCTGTTTAAACTCTCAGGTCATTTCATCCTAACCTTTTAAAGCCTGATCCAAGAATAAAACAAAACAGAAAATTACTTTTTTTCGGTTTGAGTTAATTATTTGGAGTTTTAACAAAATATGATTACCATTAAATGATGCAAAAAGTGTCAGACGCAAAACATTTCAGAAACCGTATGGATCAAATATGATACATTTGGCATTACAGGGTTAATTATTCAACATTCAGTGGTCTCCTGAGCAAAAACCCATATGGAGCAACGTGCTTTGGACAAATCAGACCAAGGTGGAAATGTCTCAGCTCCATCTCTTGTGATTCAGGCTGGTTCTGCAGCCACAGGACCTGAAGACCACCATGAATTCCTCACGATACTAAAGTATCCCATCAATCAAGCATAAAGCCGGGTTAGAAATCAGTGCAAAACAGAGCCATGATCCCCACACACGGCAGCAAAGCTACTGCCGAGAATCCGTAAAGGAACGGAATTAAAGTGTTGCAGTGGTCAGAATCAGAATCAGAAATACTTTAATCATCCCAAAGGGCTGACCTGCCCACAGTAAAACAAGAGACTGACCGTTTCACACAGAGAGAAAGTCATGCCGAAAGGTAATTTCTTCATCAAGTGGTTTTTTAAACTGTTCGCTGCTTCCACATTATCTTAGTTTTTGTTCAACAGATAATAACACAGAACAATAATAGTATTAATAATAAGTCAGGTGTTGTTCGTCTCAACTCAACTCAAATAAACTTTATTTTTATAACTTTTTTTAGAATTTTAAGAACATCCAGCTGAGACAAAGGGCTGAACATGAACAAGTAAGAAAAGAAAAACAACAAAAACAAAAGAATAAGAAAATGACAACGTTAAAACAATAAAACACAAAACAAAGAGGCAGTTGAATTTTTGTGCTTCAAGGAGAAGTTGAATAAAAAATCTAAAAAGCTCTACTTTTTTAAGGACATCAGAGAAGTTCAGATGAATTCACATGTAAAAAACCAATGAATTCCATGTTTGGTACAATCAGAAAAACATGACATTACCAGTTTATATTTATCGTCAGTAACATTTTATGCTTCGAAACATGAAAAAGTTGTCCAGAAAATAAACGTTTAAATAGATTTTGTTTCCATATAATACAATTTTTGTTGTGCACTGAGACAGAAATCTTTCGAGCTTGTCGATCTCTAGTCTGAGTAAATGGAACTGCTTCATCCAAGAAAAAAACAGAAGCCAAAGAAGTGAAGAACAGACATTTACCTTTGAAGCGACACCAGCATCAGACTCAAGAGGAAAGCAGCAGGTCCTGCTCCAGAGACTGTTCTATTTTTATGGATCTGCTAAGCGGCGCAGATCCTATTATTGCATTTGCATTATGAGTTATTGCACACCCTCAGATCAGCTTAAGGCAGCAGTTAGCGGGCCGTGCCCGGCGGTTTTTGCAGGTCTCTGCCCGCTCTCTGGACCGTGTCTAACGGACTCCAGAGCCGTCCTCAGGTGAAACGTTCTGCTCTAATCTCCACCGGACTGACAGTAAGCCCCGGCCCCCCGCGGGGAACCGGTGCACCGGTTGGGCCTCAGTCCCCGGCTAAGCTCTGCTTTAGAGGGCCTGAGTCCACGTTTGTGCGCTCGGACAAAGGCAGATTACCCGTGTTAACCCGATTCTTTAGTTGGAAACCGTAGAATAAACCAGAGTGGATCAAAAGTATAAAAAATGACATTTATTCGACACAGTTAAGTGTATCAGCTGGGCTCTAACAGACAAAAACCTCTCTCTGGGTCTCAGTGGGCAAAGAGCCCTGAGATCTGGGTGTGATGGGCATTATCTCATGGGCTCCATCCGCTTCCTCAAAGGAGGACTGGACACAACCAAGTCCTATTGGCCAGTTACCTCTGGGCATGAACAGGCCAGGTCCTAATTCATGCAGATGACAGGAATGTGGTAACAAATGGTGTTTGTTTGTGTTGACATAAAGACGTGTGTCTAATGTAACAGAAAAAGAAAAAGTCCTATTGGCTAGTTACCTCTGGGCATAAACAGGCCAGGTCCTAATTCATGCAGATGACATTGGATTGTGGTAACAAATGGTGTGTGTTTGTGTCGACCTAAAGGTGGATCTAATGCAACAGGGAAAGGAAAAGAGAGAAAGGAAAAGAGAGAAAATATAGTTATATATATAGTATTAAAAGAAAATAAAACAATCAGTAATTGACATAGATCATGTGATAGCATACAATGCTAAAATGAGTAATTATAGCTAAATTCTAACACCTTTAAAGGCAAAAATCCAGTTGTTTGTATGTTTTTAGAGTTGACACATCATATGTGTAATCCTGGTAATTCAGAGATCCTGGTGTTGTTTTGTTTTGTTTTTCCTCCCTTCCCCTTACCGGGTTGTGTCCCCCACACAGAAACAGTCTGAGTTCGTTTTGGTCCCTGTTACCTTTCGCAGGGCTGCACAAAGGCCTCATTGTGCAGGGACACAGGACCAAAACAGACCTGAGCCACCATGTATTTGCATACTCCAGAATATCAGGTACCAGTACCTCGGCAACTCGTCCTTTAAGTCCCGGCAACAGAGACCTTCATCTCAAATCCAAGAGCCCACACACTGTTTTGAAACACCTTCTTTCTGTGGTCCAGCTTCTGTAACGGGGCCAGGATTCAGTTCTCTGGCTCACTGAAAATGTCCCAAAAAACATGTGTTTGATGGAGGTTTTTGTTTCTATTTCTCTTGCAGTCATAACTTCGGTCAAGAGTCACTCGAGTGTAACATCTTAAGCCCGAATAACTGACTTTTCACTTCTTGTTAAACTATATTTAAACAAGATTAATCCAATTTTGTGATAGATGCTCCCAAACTTGGATAAACCAGCTACAGTGGGGGAAATAAGTACTTGACCCCTTGCTGATTTTGCAGGTTTGCCCACTTAAATGATGCAAAGAATGCTTATTTTTCCTCATCAGATGGTTATCAATTTTTTATAAATTCATATGATGTGACTTTCTGGAATTTTCTTTGGGATTCTGTCTCTCACTGTTAGAATGCACATATGATTAAAGTTATAGATCGTTTTATTCTTTGTAAGTGGGCAAACCTGCAAAATCAGCAAGGGGTCAAATACTCCTTTCCCCCACTGTATTTTAGGCTTAAAATGAAGCGGTGACCAGATCTTATTAGATGATTTCTTTCTGTCTGTGGTGCTGTATTCCTCTGTGTGTGGCTTTATTATGGTGCTCTAACATGGCAGCAGAAGGGCTAAATGTGGAATTCCTGTGCGTTTTTTCTGACTCTCCTGTTAATCCGTGTTCACTGCTGAAAGCCTTGACCCAGCAAATGAGGACCAAGCCCCTAAATGAGCACCAGCCGGAGCCTGGATGGAAGTTACCTGACCCTCAGCTGGGTTTTTTTTTGTTTTTTTTATCTTTCTGTCTCCATCTTAGAGCCCTAATACCAGCCTGTCACTCCTATTATAGCAGACGGTAAAATAACACTTTTGAAAGCCTTTAGGAAAACAACTTATTAGTCTCCTTATCATGTCAGGCTGCTCTGGAATTGGGCCAAATTTGAGCTATTAGCTCTGGGCTTTAGTTTGAAGGCTGCCTTATCCAAATAGTGGGAAGAAACAGAGCTAAGCTGTTGTTGTTTTTTTTAATCCTTTCTTCTTTTCTGTAAGACTTTCCCCTTAAAGCTCAGAGGATTTTTGTTGTTGTTGTTGCGACAACGGAGTAAAAAGATGATCAGGGAGGTCAGCCATGACACTGGCCAGCGTAGGGAAGACTTCCTGTCACGTTTCTTTGATGTTTCCCGCCAGTTTCTCTCCGTGGAAGCAGCCGGGCTCCTGCCTTTGATCACCGATCGAGCATCTGCAGGCCAGAGAGGCTCTGGACACAGGAAGTGTCGGAATTATCTCAGCACCTGGAAGAATTAAAGGAAAAACGGCATCTGGTGAATCTCAGCCTCTAGTCTGTGAGTCTGTGCTTTAGACTTGAAAAAAAAATTAAGAGTAGAAAAGTTCATGTTCATTTTTGTGCATCGAAAGGAAGATAATGGCACAAGTTTTCCGTTTGTGCAGTTAAAAACGTCCCTACAGACTCCGCAAACCTCCTATTTTTCAGTTTCTCCCATGTTTTAGGTGCACGGAAAAAGGATTTAGTGGCTATCTTCAGATCCACCTCTAGATGTCCCCACATCCGGCACAAAATATTTAATTAAAAGCTTAAAATCATCCAAAAAACAACAACAAAAAAACACATCACAAACAGCAGTTTTGCAATTCATTGGATCAGGATCTATTCTTTCCACAACTTCATAAAAAAAAGTGATTTAGGCGTTTTTTTTTCCTTATAAAAAAACACTCTTATTAACTCCATGTTGAACCAGGTGAAAGTGATATTTTCTATTTTGGAAAAAAAAAGTCCTTCACACGTCCACAGATCTTTGGGAAGGATCTGTAATGGGTGCCAGACTTTCACCCGAGGACCTGATGGCTATCAACCCTCCTAACGTCACCTCACGTCCGGCTGGATCAGCGCACGCGCTCCCGGAAAACGGGGTGCTGAAAGGAGAGGGGGGGGGGGGGGGGGGGGGGGGGGGGGGGGGGGGGCAGCATGTCTGTGCAGGACACATGTTGGAACCCTGTGGGAAAAGTTCAAAAGAAAATTGAGGCTCACACCGGAACAGAAGCACTTGAGCTGTAAGAATAAAAGTGAAAATAAATAAGTAAATAAATAAATAAATAAATAAATAAATAAATAAATAAATAAATAAAAGAACAAATAAATCCATAAATAAATAAATAAATAAATAAATACATTTTCTCAAAAACTTTTTTTTTTCTCCCATTTTTTTCACTTTTATTCTTAAAACATAAATAAATAAATACAATTTTCTTTCCGGATCAACTTTGTACAATTGCAGCTTTATGATTATGAACAGCTACTATCTTAGATATTTTAAAGATGAGTTTAAAACAGCTTTCTTGTTGAATCCACAGACACTTTCTGTATGAATCCCACTTTATTTGTCACATTTCCTGTGCAGCCCTGAGGTTTGTGGCTCAGTTTTTCTCTCTTTCATTTGACATGCAAAGCTGACGGAAGAAAGAGGCTCTTTCCTGGGCTGGTCCTCGACAAACCCACAAACGTGTATTTACACAAAACGAATGCGAATCTTCATCCTTAAGTGGAAACTGTACAGGTTTCCATTCAGTGTGGACGGTGCATCCTTCTGTGGTGTCGTTTCATAGCATGACTGACTCAAAAGTAGAAATGAGAAAGCTTTGCCCACACCTTAAACAAAAAAAAGAACAAAAACAAGGACACACATAACCACATATACTTAACGTGGAGAGAGAGAGCTTTGGGTTTGCTCAAACGTCTTCAAGTTTCAAGCTTCTTTTGGCTGATTTTTGTGTGTACAACAGTGAGTTGTGTTTCCCTTTACAGATGGAGCCTGTAAAAATCTTATTTCATTATCAGAGCCTGTCTTTTTTGGGAGAGCTTCGTTTACATCACAAAGTTACAGAGAGGGATCTGTCACGTTTGTGTTTTCCTCAGAGGATTTGCAGTATAAACCTTTATTTTGAAATCCAAACCGGAAGTGGGAGGGCTAGCTTTAGTGCACTTGACTTTTCTGGTAACTTTTGGGTACTGCTGTGCGCTCCGGCACAAAACTCCAGGACCATCACAGCTCCAGCAGCCCCCCCCCCCCCCACACACACCCCCTCCGACCCCCGACGATAGAGAAAAAAGGACGATGGGATTTTAACAACTGGAGACCAAAAACATGAGCACAGACGCGTGACTCTTCCCAGCTTTTTTCCCCCCCCAAGAAAAAAAAAAAAAAAAACCCGACGCTCCACAAGTTTGGATGCTGAGATGCGCAGAAAGTGACGGGATTCTCACCACTTCTCCAGTCTTCCACGAGTCCTAAAAACGCCATGAAAGGTACGAAAAGCACATTTTTTTAACCCATTTTTCGCTCTCCGGCCTTTTTGGCTTTATGGAACCGGTGCCTAATTCTGTGCGGTGGGCCACATCTGGATGGCATTACGCACGGAGCGAACCGGGGCGCTGGGGAGGTTTATTTACCCACCGGTTGCATCCCGTTGGAAGAAATCAAAGACCACATCTGGATTGCACGATTAAGCCGTGCAGTCTGGGAGTCCATCTGACATCCTGACAGCAACTATTTTTAAGAGAAAAGACGCAGGAAAACGGAGTCAGAGGGAAAGAAACTTGCTTTATTTTGGCGCTAATAAGTAACCACCACCAGTTGCATCCCATTGGAAGAAATCAAAGAGCACATCTGTATTGCACGATTAAGCCGTGCAGTCTGGGAGTCCATCTGACATCCTGACAGCAACTATTTTAAGAGAAAAGACGCAGGAAAATGGAGTCAGAGGGAAAGAAACCTGCAGTATTTTACCTCTAATAAGTAACCAACGCGTTTGATTCGTTTGATCCGGCCGAGGCAGATGGCCGCCCACCCTGAGCCATGGTTCTGCTCGAGGTTTCTGTCTGTTAAAAGGAAGTTTTTCCTTGCCTGTGTCGCCTAGTGCTTGCTCATGGTGGGAATTGTTGGGTTTCTGTAATTAACTTCAGAGTAGGGTCTGACCTGCTCTGTTTGGAAAGCGCTGTGAGACAACTGTTGTTGTGATGTGGCGCTATATAAATGAAATTGAATTGAATTGAATTCATTTTAATTTTGTAATGTCATTGTCTGAATGTGTGTTTGGACTGATTTTGTATTTTGTGATTTTGTGTTGTTTGGTCTTCCTGCCTCAGGACGACAGATGTAAACGAGCAACTATGCTATAATCTGGCTCATTTACAATCTGTATGAGATTGTTCATTAATGTGCACTGTCCTGACTAAATAAATAAATAAATAAACAAGTTTGAGGGAATCTAAGATGAGTTAACAGTCTAAACTCCTCTGACCTCCCACCGACAGACGCACTCAGCTCATCCCTCCCGCCTCCCTTATCTCTCTCTCCCCCTCACCCAAGATGCCCTCCCCTCAGCCCCATCTGTGTGCCATTACTGGAGACGTTCCCCCTCTGCTCTGCCCCATAGTCTCCAGCCCAGTGTAGCGCAGCGTAATTAGGGTTTACTGTCAACAACCCGGAGAAAAACCGCAGCCTGTTGCTTTTACTGGTCCCCGGACCTTCCATCTCCGCACACACACACACACGCACACACACACACACACAGAGGAACATCTACCACCCCTGGCCTCCTTGTTCCCAATCACAGGTCGATATTCAGGGGCTTCACACTACCGGCCTTTACTGTTTTCTGAGGGTTTTATCTGTTTTTTGGACTCCTCCGTGCTCTTTTAAACTCACTAAACTGTCACTAAACTGTCACTAATGTCTCGTGTTTCTGTCTCTGTCACGCAGACGACTTTGTAGACGAGGAGGAAGTACAGTCTTTTGGATACAAGAGGTTCGGTGAGTGAGACCTGACCTTTTCCGCTCCTTTCCTCAAAGCCGGAGAAGAACGGAGCCGGCACACTTGGAGCTCTCCTCATAAAACCTTTACGGTGTTTGTGGATAAACTGCTATGTCTAAAAGTCACTTAATGTGTGTGGGCTCCCTGAGCTCTCCTATCCCTTCTACAGATGTTTTGATTGATGTCTCCATTCCTCAAATGAATCTTCTAAGGGGGGAGAATGGCTAAAAGAACTGTGAGCAATGATGTGCTAGCATACGCTTCCGCTATCTGTGACATTAATCCTGCAAACTAAATTGAATTAGAGAAGAACAACGTAGTGATGAATATCCTTTAATGTGCCATTCCCATAATATATAATTTCAGTTACTTTACTGAAGCTTGCTGAAGGATTTTTGAAGTAAACCTGCTTCAGTCTGCTTAGCTAACGATGCTAACGATGGGATGTGCTCTGCTGATTCAATGAACATACAAACATTTATCATGAAGTGGTAAACCCACCCTATTCTAAAAAGGGTGGAGTCTTGCCCTAAGAAAACGAGATGGGTTTCCACTCCTTTTGTCTTAGCGCAGGTTTTGCTGGATTCTTTTTTATCTTACAGTTCGAGTTCAGTTCAGGTGTTTCCTTTGAAATAATTGATGGATGATACAGATTGTTTGTCTCCATGTGGCCCTGTGATGGAGTAGCATTAAATAGGTGATACATGACATTTGTGGACGGTTTAAAATGACATTTCTCAAAACAACGATGCCTGACAGTCATCCTTTTATTTCATTATTTTTTTACACCTGGTTGATCATATTCAGTCGGATCGGAAATTGGGGATGTTGGGTTTGTGAGCATCTCTAGCCGATAGCCAGCGGTCACTCAAAAGGTATCCTCACCCAAAAGTCCCACCAACATTCATTCTTAGTTTTAGTCGTTAATAAGCTATTGGACCGTTTATTTCAAGATGTATTTTTAAGGTTTTATTTTAAGAATTGAAGAAAAAGGGGCAACACGGTGGTGTGGTGTTTAGCGCCATCACCTCACTTGCCAGAGGGTTCTGGGTTGGAGTCCCCGGGGGAACCAGGACCTTTCTGGGTGGAGTCTGCATGTTCTCCTGTGTCTGTGGGTTCTCTCCGGGTTCTCCGGCTTCCTCCCACCCTCCAAAAACCTGCATGTTAGGTTGGCTGGACTCCAAACTGCCCTTAGTGTGAGTGTGTGTGGTTGTTTGTCCTTGTGTGTCTCTGTGTGTCCCTGTGATGGACTGGTGGACCGTCCATGGTGACCCTGCCTCTCCCCATTGACCACTGGGATAGACTCCAGTACCCTTCGTGACCACATTAGGGAATAAGCGGTAACAATAATGGCTGGATGGAAAATGAATAAAAGTAAGGATACCAACATATGAGGAGCGTTCAGATGTTGATGAACTGAAGTGAAGTCTTGAAGGTCTCTGTGACACTGTCACATGATGCGCTCTGGACATTTTAACCTCCCGTCACGAGATCGGGTTGTTTGTTATCAAACGTCATCTGGAAAGACGTTGCTGGAACGTGCTCGGGGAACCATCACCCAGTCAAAAAGCTGGAAGGAGATTTGACGTGCCATCTGTACATCACCATCCATCACGGCCTAGCTTAAACACAGAGCAGCAAAGCAGAGCCAGATGCACCAGTCGGGCTCCAGAAGAAGCAAAAACAGCTTTTCCAGGGACTCTCAGCCATGAGTTCTGATAAAGCAGACGATCTTTTTTGGGATGTCTTATTAAACTAAACCTACCAGGTTTAGGTATGTTTAGTAGGAGGATTCGGATTGGTCCTAATTAATATGTCGCTGCCTCAAACTGAAATCTTTCAGCTTGGCCTACAGTTTTTTTATGATCCTGATCTCATGAATATTGAAAATTTCTGCTTCACAATGCTAAACCCAGCTGATGGTTTCGGCTTCTCTTTGTGTCTTACAAATCATTGAATTATTTTTCTAATTATAAGAATCCTCTTCCACTATAAGACTCTTCCCCATTAGTCTTTATTTAATTAGGAAAACCATTACCTTCTAATAGATCAGCATCAATAAAACTTTCCAAAGGGAATCTTGATAAATGGATCACTGACTGGGCCTCCTACTATGGCACCATCTGTCCAGATGCTGGACAAGTTATTCTTCCCTCTTTTTTGTGGGGGGGCAGGAGGGCTTAGAACTTGTTTTGTTTAAATGGTTTTGGTCAGTGTGTTTGCCATGGAGTGTTTGGAGGATTTGGATGAACCTGAAAGGATATCAGCTCTTCTACATACACCAACACATCCTAATGATTCCCCTTTGAGGCCGGACGCGTTCTGTCGATTCAGGATTTATTTAAGGACTCAGTCTCTTCCTGCACCATGACTCATTACACACAGTTTAGCTGAGGTCCAGGAGACCGGAGGTCAGGCGGTCGGCGGGTCTAAACCGTCTCCGACTACGTTAGAGCTCAGAACCTCTTTCAACCGGGGGTCCCCCGAGTGGAGGCATCCTGTTTGTCTTTCTTTGAGAGCGCGTGCGAGTCCCCGCGCATGGATTAGATTAGAGAGAGCTGTGGGGAAGGGAGCCAAATCCAAATCTCGCTTTTAACTTTATTCAGATGAACCCCGAGCATTGGGAGGGGAAGGAGGAGAGGGTTGCTGAACTCCCGGAGCCCGGATTCCTTTATAACAGGGACTCGGCAGCTGTTTGAAAGGGTCTGCCCCCCCCCCCTCCGGAGTCTTTGTTGTGCAACGGCTCCGCATGCATGCGAACCATCACATGCCTTCATTCTTCCGTTATTAGTGTGGTAACAAACAGTTAGTTCCTCTCGACATGTTTTCGCCTCGATTCATCGCGGTCTCCCCGGAGACTGATAGTGTTTAAATTGTTCAGACATGTCAAAGCTGCGAATGTTGTGCAAATCTGCGTCCACTTTAGAGAAAAAGTCATGCTTCAACACTATGGGATGGAACACTTCATTCCCGGAGGCTTTGTGAAGTGAACCCGCAAAGCAAATTGGCTTTTTGTCTTCGGTCGACTATTCGCGCATATTTTTTGCCCAGGCCCGTCTTTTTTTCAGACAATTTTCCAGCAGTTTTTTCCACCCAGCCACTGAGACATGAGCATGATGGGAATTAGTGGAAAGTGCGAGATCAAATAAGATGCCGAAATCAAACACTGTCACACTGTATAGTTGCCAGTTCCTCACACTATAGTTACGTGTAACATATAGTTAGATTTTAGAAAAATAAGATCTACCTGCCAAGTCTTCTTTAAGTAACCCTTTGATCAATATTATTTAAGTCAACAGGACTTAAGCCAGTTATGTAAGATGAGCAAAAACACAATTTTTTGCAAAAATGCTGCAGAATTAAGAGTCAGATTGTGTGTTAGAAAATTTCTTAACAAATAAAAATGGTAGAAAAGATCAAATATGCAATGAAATACAACCACAAAGTTTCAGTATTTTCAGTATTGTTTCAATCTCACCTGAGTATTGTGATGAAATGCAATGAGTAATGACCATTTTTATTGATGCTAAAGTTAAATAACTGAGATTCATTATCATATGCTTTACACCGTGTATTTGACCCAGAGTTTCTATGTGAAAAAACACACACATTGTCTAGTGTCAGCACCATGTTCAAAGTAACAAAAACTGACCAGGTGTTGAAATGTCTCCAGAAATGCGTTTGGTAGCTACACCTCTGCTGGCATACAACCCGAGGGGTCAGATTTCTGCAGAACAGAGAGAGTCCAGTGTGAAAACACACACACATCTATATTAAAAACAGTCGTCATTCACAAGGTATTCCAACACCATGAACATTTATCCGAAAATATATGCAAAGACACATATTTTTCACTCCACTGCATACAAGTGGATACACACACACACACACACACACACACTGAACAAATTCATATGGTTATCCCATTGTCCTCTCTGCCAAACTGGAGCCAGGCCGGAATCGCTTCCTCAGTGCTCAGGATTTGAACATATTTATTTTTCTGTGGGGTTCTGACATAAGAAGTAAAAAAACTAAATCTACCTGGGCTCTGGCTGAACTTTTCCTGGCCCCGCAGAGGCCGGTAAAACCCTTGGCCTGTGCGAGTCACAAACTCTGTGCACAAACAATCCAACGTCAATAAAGCGTTGCGTTTCCACCCAAATGAATTCAGCTGTTTATTGCACATTTCTGCTTCTGATTGTGGAAACGTCCAGGAGTGATTGAGATTTAAACGTTTTTAACTATTACACCACATGGAATCCTTTCCACATTTCAGATTCTGAATCCATCCTCATCTTTTCTCCACTGGGCCTCTTCTAGGTCCCGTTTTGTGGCTGTTCGGAACTACTTTTTTGCTGTTGTTTTGAATTTATATTTGCAGCTACGTGGCATCGAGGCGCATTTGAAAGGTGGAATCTGTATCAGGATGAAGCACAACGAACACCTCTCGTGCACACAGGGTGGCTGGATAAAACCTTAAAAAATGCACATTTGCAGCTTTTTAAAAACAAATAAATCGCATACTTTGCCGCCACATTCGCTTTCCACAGTGAGACAAACGGACTGATTCGGGTTCCTAAAGAGTTGGACAAATGTCAGACCATGAAAACTCTTTCAGACGAAACAGTCCGGAGGCGGAACGCGTGCACATCTACACGTATGCAGACATGCATAAAGATGAATCGTCATTTCATTTAAGTACATTAAAATGAATTCCAGTAATGAAGGCGTAAATGTGTGGGGCATTTAGGGCCTTTCTGCCTGAACAGCGTCCTGTTCTCACTCAATGATTTCATCCCCAATGGTATAAACATCTGATCCACCTTCAGTTTAAACCACTCTGTCTCATGGCTGGTTCAAGCCCATAGCGTCTAATTGATTTGAAAAGTAAACTTTGATAATATATTAAGAATTTAAGGTCTTCCTGTGAAGGTTTCCCCCTGTTTTGGGCCTCAGGTCCAACCGACACCACGTTTCCGAAATTCTCCTCACACACCTT